AAAAAAAAAAAAAATTTGCCTTGAGAACCGCTGCAATGAGAACTTGATAATAATAGCCATGAATAATTATAATAAATGGCTTGTCTGAAACACCCATAGAATAGGGACTCAAGTAAACTGTAGCAACCTCTCTCCCTCTTCCACCCACCACACACGCCCTCAGCAGCTCTGCTCTTTTACCCATGACCGTTAAGGATGTTTTCTGGCTCGGTGACAGCATCGTGACTCAGGTCATGAGAAGTGTCAAAGATGCATTTCCTTGAGATGGGAAAAAGCAACTGATTTTAACAGCCCACAAAGACTAAGCAAATAGAATAAGCCAAATCAGCATATTTAAGAAGGGTAAAGATAAACCTTTTTTAAAAGATACAAGTATATTTTATTTTCAATCTTACTGCTTACGTTTCTCTCCATAAAGTGTTTACATTTTTCGGACTACCAAAAATGCACAGTTGATTTAAATGCCTTACTCAAGAATAATAAACTCAAAGACAACAAGAGCAGCACCCATTTAGTGCCTAGTCAGCCCTAGGTCCCGCGCACAGAGCATTTGATTCAGCCCTGCAGGCCCAGGCGCTCGCCTTGGATTCCCGCTCAGCTGTGCCCTGAAGGGACCCACTGCACGGGAGGCAGGCAATATTTGGGCTAATTTCACTAGAAGAGCCTTCCCAGCAGCTTTTCTCCCGTTCTTTTCCCTCTTTGGCTATGTCACAGAGCTTCATATTCAAGGATCTTTACCTTTCTTCACTACTAACCTTTCTTATCATACTACACCCTCAACAACCAAACCTCCTCCATTAGCTTCTCCCCTTGCTCGCCTTCTGACCAAGCGTATCATTTTAGACCGAGATCACTCAGGTAAAGCCACCCGTTGTGTCTTCACCCCCAGTAGCTCCCCCAGGCTCCTCCCTGACCCACAAGGTGCGGCTGCGGGTGCCCCTGACACCCGGCGCCCTGCGGGCACCTTCCGGAAGGCGACCACGGCCCTGCAAGGCCGCGAGGTTGAACAGGCCCAACAGGTAATTTGTGGGCTCTGCTCATTAGAAGTTACCTCTTCCCCTCAACTCAGGGGATCGACATGAGCGACACGGCATAAAAATCGCGCTCAGAAGCCCGTCCTGTGGACGAGGCGGCCCCGCGAGCGTCCTGCCGCCGAGGCGCAGCACGAGCAGCGCGGCCGAGCGGCGCCGCCATCGCTGAGAGAACGTCGCCCTCTAGAGGGGCCGGCGCCCCGCGGGGAGCGGGACGGGACGAGGACGRGGAYGGGGATGGGGATGRGGATGAGGACGAGGATGGGGACAGCAGCATGCGCAGGGAGCAGGATGGGGCTGAGGATGGGGACGGTGACWGCGGCACACGCAGGGAACCGTGCTCCTCCACACGGAAAACCCACAAAACGCGCCATGGTAACGCTGCCGAAGGGTGTAACCGTCAAGCAGACGCAAACCCCAAAAGTAAATTAAAAAATTGGGCCCRTTCTACAGCATCTCCTATTTTAATATATTTGTAAAATTCATGTTCGGGAGAGAAACTCCAAGTTATAAAAAAGAAAGCCTAGTAGAGACGTTTCAAAGAGCTGTTTTTCAGCTCGTGCTCACAGCGTAGTGCCCGAGTTGAACTTCAGAAAGAAGCTGCCGCCCAGGCCTTGAAGTTACTATACAGTTAATTTTCTTTGAAACTATTTTTGTCCTCCTCTCTCCAAATAGGTAGTTTCTTAAGTGAGTGTTACTTAAAGGAAACCAATCTGTTTTGCAGGAAGGGCTGATGATGTCAGTCCTTTCAACTCTGCTTTCCCATAAGAATTCTTCTAGTAAAAGGAGTTTCACTCTGGGAAATAGTGAAAAGTAACACGAAAATATTCCAGGCATCTCCGAGTGCACACTTGTCAAACTCCTCGGATTTTCCTCATGCTGCAGGCTCATTATAAAAAAAGGAAAAGTGAGGGAAAGCCAATTCATTTATAAAAAATAAAAAAGGTCTATTATAGCACAGTTTCCATTGCAAAAAAAACCATAATATTCCTAGAGCTAAATTCAGSCTAGATGTAATATATACAGTCCAGCTTGCTTTTTCACAGTACTGTATTTATGTCTTACGTTTCCAYTGTGCATTACAAATACTCCTTAGGCAAGATAGCACAATCCAAGTAAAAACTTCAACCTACAACTAAAAAAAATTTAGAAAACAGTAATTCCCTCCCAAAATTATTATCCTTAGTAGGTGACAATGCATAGTGAAAGGTTCAATGTACACTCAACTTAATATACAAATGTTTGTGCCAGGTTATAGCTTTGGAAAACCTTGTAGTGAATAACAGCAAAAATTTCTGAGGGGGTTCAGACAAACTTACTGTTGGTATGAGCAATAACGGTAATAATTGCTAATTTTTAATCTGCAAAATAATTTGAGATGCACACAGCTTTCCATTTTTACAATAAAGCATACCTGCAAGATGGCTATGTACTGACACCTCTATGTTACATGCGTAAAAAGGTCATGTAAGGCCATATTCCACTTTAAGTTTCAGTCCCGCAACCAATTGATGTCATAACAGTCTTAGAATAGTAAAAGCCCATAAAAGGATAGCAACTTAACTCCGATATTACTGACAATACTCCAGCAACCCAACTGAATGAGAAAAATACAACCTCATGGGATTAACAGATAAAACAGCACCAACAAAATCTCTGCTAGCTATAAAAKGTGCAAGAAAAAAAAATCTCTTCATCATCTTCTGTTTCTATGAAACAGTTCATTTCATTCTGCTAAAAAGAACAAAGCTGAACGATGATTCATTTGGGAATGAAATCATCGCCCCCTCCCCAGTAAAGACTTGCACTGTATGGGTAAACAATTTGTAGGGTACTTGGAACAAAATGTAAATAAAGGATTGCTTTGCTGCTACACTCATAGCAAATTGTTTCATTTTGAAACTAGAAGTAAAAAACAAGTGAGAAAAGCATTGCAAAGGCTGAACTCTGCAAATATTTAGAGGAACAAAAAAAAAATCAAAAATTTCTATCACCAAGCTCTAATAGGCAGTCAAAAGAAGCGATAACACATAAGATTTCCGTGAACAGAAATCCCTGCTTTTAGCCAGAGATCACTACAGTGTTACGGTAACGTGAAGGAAATACTAGAAGGACTAACTGCAGTTTTTTCTAGCTTAAGGTTTACTCAAAGCTGCTCTAAGTTGCAAGGGACGTAACAGGAAAACCACAAAGTCAAGATTTCTCACACACACACACACACACACACACATACACACACACACACACACCCCTGCCATTTAATCAACAGTTTACATCACTGCAACAGTGCTCTCTGGGACACTCCTCTGTGCTAATATTTCCATTATAGTCATCTGCATTTATACGGATGACTAAGGAAAGTAATAGCTATTCTTTCTTGAGTAGTTATACCAAAGAATATACGTCTAACTCCCAACTTTGTAAAAATTCTAACTAGTTCATGAATTAAAACCACTCACTATTCTTCAGTATTCTACAGAAAGTAGATACAAAAACTCTTAAATAGACCAAAAAAAGAGAGACATGTGAATTAATACTTTTTGGTAATCGCTGCTCCTTCTTGCRTAGTAATAGTGAAGAACGTATGTCTAACTCTTAATTTGGCAAAAATTCTAACCAGCCAAGGAATTATAAAAATCACAAATATCCTCTTAAAATTCTCCTCTAAGTTCTGCGCGTACAGGTCACAGAGATTATTACTCCTGTATAAAGTGGTAAACCAGTATACAAAAACAAGTTGAATAAAACTCAGWAGGCACACAGCAAGTTAAAAGTAAAGCCAAGAATTAAACCCAGAACTGTTCTGCTCTGAGCTAGTTACACTCCTGTCAAGACTGCTGTAACTCCTCCAAATATGATTTAACATTACATTATGGTAGTTGTTACAATCCATATAAACACATTTTAGTTCACAAATTAAAATAATCCCACAGTTGCTTACAAAAATGCCCACGAAATCCCTCCAGTGAAAGTCACAGTAAATTTTTTTCAAGTTGATAAGAGGGTTTCTAAGAAGCATATAGTATCGTTTAATATCCAGCCCAACTTGTGCTAGGTAAACTAAAAGATTACCAAAATGAAAAACTTGCAATAAGTATTACTAAAAACATTATTTTACCAAGTGAAGGTCATTCAAAACTAAACATTTTTATCTTTTGTCTAAGATTTTGGKTTTTTTTGGTAAGACACAGAACGTTTTAAGTCTAAAAATCTGTTATTTTCATTCAAAGCACCATGGCGTTCTGGATTATATCATTTAAACAACAACATGTGCCTAATATCCTACTCTTATTACATACTCATACACTAAGTCTGCTAGGTGGACAGGAGTAGTGGAGGAGCAAGAASCATTTAAAGGATTTTCCTTTCTTGTAAGGGACTGCAGTATTATTTTTGAGATCTCATCTGCACTTTAGTCATCACTCACTGCTTCCAATTACTAGGGCATAATTATCAACCTTTCAGTAGTCACAGCAACCCTGCTGCGTTGAAGCCCACGGAATGATAATGCCATATGAAACTGCTTCCTCTTCTCATAAACGAGTCAAATCTATTTAAAAACATTAAGTGTACATAGGAATATTGTAAAGGCAACAACTTACTGTAATTTCTCTTGACAGAAAACAAAATTGGCTGGATAAAACCTACAGAAGTTGATAGCTGCTTTCTCTTCTCTTGGTGATATCAATGGAGAAAAGTGCTATAATTGTTTACAGGAATCCAAAGCCTGTTTCAAGCACAACATGTTCAGCTGCTGTCTAATGGTGAAAGAAAAACTTCAGTGGTCGGGGCATGTGGCCCTCCCAAATTTATACTGCATCTTTTCTCTTCAAGGGAACTTCTGACTTGCTCTTGCTGGGAAGGAGCATTAAAAAGGTGCAAATTCTAAACGTAAACAGCAAATTCTGAACCCAGACAAGTTACCAGTAACCAGCTGAAAGAGGAGGGCAAACTAAAGAGATGAATTACCGTGGAGTGGGGAGCCAGACGGGCTGCTTGACAGGCCAGGGACAGGGCTACAGCGCCCTCCTTGCTTCGAAGTCAGCTCTTGCTCAATCTCCTCCAAGCCCGCGCTCTTCTGGAAGCGGCTCATGCGATTTACCACGCGGGGCGACATGTGTGTCCGGACACAGGGCTGCCCTCCGTAAGGATTGATGGGAAAAACATGCGAAGTGCCACGGAGGGTGCTCACCACCACCCAGCGACAGTCGTGGCTGAAGGAGATGTCCTGTACCTGCCAAACAGACAAGGGAAGCGGGTAGAGTCAGTGTACACACATCTAAGCAGCAACTGCTCTATCAGTTTAGCTATGGTCTTACCATTTATCTACCCAGGGATTGACTATTCATGCTATTTACCCTGACCTCTCCTCTTCTTCGGTGTTCACATTTTATCAAAAAGAAATGCATCAACTTTGCCCGTTTTTCTAGAACTTGTGGATGTTGAAATAGTAACAGCAGACACAAAAGGATCTTTACCAATCAGCGATTATAGCCCYAAGACAGACCCCAGTTAGGTTTCTTTCTATGCACATAAGTATTTATCCACTACTTGAGAAATGTCATTTTCATTTTAGTAATTCCTTAGAATGGCTRGTCTTGAGGAAAAAAAAATCATTAAATATTTTCTGTTGTAGCTACTGCTTGGGATTTCAGATAYGAAATCCAGAAGGATTTAATTCTCTTAAGTGTGCTTTATGTAACACTTTGATGGAAAGCAAGTTCTTGTTCCTGAAGGAATGCTTTAAAACAGAGATTAAACTTGGTTTCCAGGCGCATATCGGCAATCAACTCAAGAAAACAAGTAGACTTGGTTAAAACGACTTACCATGGGGAGGGGAAAAAAAAAAAAAAAAAAAAAAAAAAAACCTAACACAATTCTTCCAATTTTTTTTTTTTAAGGTTGAAAGGTTTAAAAGTTGACCAACAAGAACCATGTACATAAGTGGGATTTAACATGGCAAAAGAGCATATAGCCTAAGGATTAGTTTTCATTAAATAGCATAAACTACATAAAATTCTTTAAGACTTCTCTGAAGCCAGTTTTACAATACACTAGGTACTCAAATTGGAGTAAACACTGATAAAATCTTGACAAATATTCCAGAAATGCACTCCAACTCCTCCAGACAAAAGCAGCAAGTATTCATCAAAGTGCAAGTTTCCAACCGAGCCCCGAAGCCTTGAGATAAAAAGGGATTTAAGTCTTGCGACAAGATATTTGTCTGACAGACTGTCACTATGCGAAATGCTTTATCAACATTACCTAGATAAACTAAAAAACAGCGTTACACACCTGTTCTTTTCAATTATGGTGACAAACCCAAATGATCTGCTAATGATACAGCTACAACCTCCCAGGAACGTGACAGCTTTAGCACTTGCCGTGCGACCGGTATTACAAAAAAGTCACGGCACTTAAAGCCCTGGGTTGCCTACAGAGTGTTTCACCACCACATTACAGTGGCTCAAAAAGGATTAGGGACCCCCTAGGGATTAACAAAGGCTAAAAAAAGAAATGCCAAGGCTAGGGTGCCAAACTCTGCAACTCCATTGCGTAACAGAAATGAATGTATCCATGTTATTACTCACTTTTTACTACGCATCCTAAGGATTATGTTGTTTAAAAATATACAAAGGCCCTGGCATGCGATAACGCAAGCCAAGACACCAGGGAACAATCATTACAGGATGTTTTTCCCCTCAATCTAAACATTACACAGAAAAGAACTATTTCTGATCTCCAGGAAGCAAGTCTGTAACAACGTAATCCAAAATGCTCTCTTCCAAATAGCTATCACAAATACCCACTCCCAAACTATTGTGAATATCATGGTCACAACTGCTTAAAATAYGGCTGAAGCCACAGAACCAAAGAACAAACAGGCTTTTAGGTCTACCCAGAAGAGGAGAGTGTTGACAGRTAAGTGGGAATGAATTATGGTTTATAGGAATATACCTATGAGAACTGACTTAACATCAACAAAGAATTTTTTAGAAGCTACTTTTATACCTGTAATGACACCACTTATCTCCAAAGTCTCCAGGATGGCCTAGCTTGTGTTTCAAAGATGAAAGTCCAGCAGCACCAAAACAGAAAGCTCAAGGAATTCAATTCAGAGCRGCTTTCCTGGTCCATACATGAATTAAGTACTTGTGCAAAGTAGTCTACGCCCATTTGTGCAAAGCAAGACTTCTCGGTAGAGCTGGAAGGAAACACTGGACCAAGCTAAGGTTGCCCTGCTTGTTCCAGCACGCTCAGAAATCACTTGGAAAAAAAAGGTCAGCCTTGTGTGTCCATGAAGGACTTATATAAATTATCACATCGGACTTGCTGTTATCCACCACACTGTTACTGTACATTACACAGAGTTCTTGCCTGCTTATAGTATAAACAAGCTGCACAGTGGCCCATTAGTGGTTTTCAAGTTTATGCTAAACGTTGCAATTTATTGCTGTCCTTTAGGTTAATGTACTAGTATTCCATGTATTTATAATATATTTCTGGATTTGTTGTTAATTATGATGCAATGTTTAGATACCAAAGATCAATCCAGACCCCACAGTGTTTACAGATATATGTTAATGAAGTATAAAGTACAGTAGATCTCCTTCAGTTCAGAGTTTATGCTATAGCTCAAGGTCAACACAGAYTTAATACTTGTGTCTGTATTTCAACATTTTATCTACCCTCTGCTATACGACCCTAGAAGGGAGAAGGGGCAAAATTGCCACGGTACCTAGAGAGGCAAACTTGATCCGCATGGAGAGGCTGCAGAGCCGCTCAGTGCGACAGCGGCCGGGCCCGCGCGGTCCCAGGCAAATCCACTCCCGATGCTTGTGCATAATGCAAGAGTTCRAAGCAGCAGCTCACAAATCTCAACTATGTCTTTTCAGAGCAAGTACAAGAAAGAACTATTAAAACACATTATAACCTTCCCAGTGCTTTTCCTGCTCGTGTTTCGCCCTGCTTGCCATGAATTTGGGTAAGTTACACCAGCAGCAGGAAGCGTGTTGCACTCATCTCACCACACTGAATTAACAGCCAAGGGAAACAGGGATAAAGCACAACTGGCAGCACCGTGACAGGAACCCAGCGCAGGTTTGTGCACGCCAGCAATGTCACAGGCTGAATGGACCTGTGCTTGAAGGACATGACTGAGTATTTAATTATGCTCTGCAGAGAGATGGCAGAGGCAAAAACACAAAGCACTAAAGAGTAACAAAGAGCTGCAGTGAGCGGGAGACAAGGGTCAAAATAAATTAGAAAAATGGTCTGCATTTCACATTTTTTGACTGAAAAAAAATAAGGAAGTGATATGGCAGCGAACAGAAGTGAAAAAAATGATAAAATAATGGACTAACACAGAGATTCGTCAGACCCACATGGACCCGACTGCCTCCCCAAGGGGTAAAATTTATTTCAGCTCCACATAAAAAGAAACCAATGGCAGAAGCTGGGCACAGAGTCACCCTTACACTCAAGCAAGGTCCTGCCACTCCAATAGCTACCAATAGCAGTACCACCAAAACTGTAACTGCAGCGTGTGCCACAGCTCTGCACCTCGAGCTCGTTGTATATATATCCTAAAAAAAGTGTCAAATGTCCTGTGGCAGTCCCGGCTGGAATGTTTTTATCATTCTGTGTTTACCTATCCCGGCTGAAGTCACTTGTAGCAGCACTTGGAGTCAGAATAGAAGTCTGACAGCCTAAAGATTACAGAGGACCCTGGCCATCAGCCCACAGATGCTATCATTATTACGTTTATTTGTTCTAGGTTGAGATAATGCTGTTTTCAGGCTCTTTTTTTTTCTGTTTACAATTTAAGATCAAAGAGAAAGGTTCATCAGGTGACAATCTGTAGCTTTCATCTACAATAAATGAGCTTCCTCAGCTCAGAACATGCTATACCACACTAAAAAGCCTGCAAAATGTTCTGGTGTAGAAATATGAGTGTGATAAGTATTATTTATATATTTTCAAAACATTCACTTTACTTGCTGGAACACACTCACCTTCAAACAATATCTTCAATGTCTGTTCCTTGCAATCCCTTTCACTTTTGCTTGTATTCTTGGTTTTGCTCAACAGCACAAAGTGATTCAGCAATTAATAACACACAAGGGCAGCACAGGTGTACCTTACTGTCCAATGTAACTGATTATTTGCTGCATCTCATCCTCAAAAAGCCTAGAGATAGCTTAGGATATTTCATAAAATTATTATTTTATCTTCCAAAACTATACAAAAAATCACTAGCCACTTAAACCAAGCAAACAATGATTTATAATTAGCAGGATAAAATCGTTAATCAAGTTCCTCTTAAGTATTATACTTATTTTCCAAGGTATTTGATAGGTTTGTTCCTGACTCTTACCTTTCTCTGAGATAATTCATTCCTATAGTAAACAGCTGTCTAAAATACTAGACTTTTCCAGCATGGTAGCAACAGGAACACTTTAGAGATGATGCAGTTTTCAGCTACCAATAATTTAAATTCACACAGATTGAAACATAATCAGCCACTATGGAAATGATATCAACCAGACTTTAAAAAAAAAAAAAAAAAAAGAAGCTTTCACATGTTACTTGTTACAAGGTAAGGAAAAACACCTAAGGAAAACTGCACAACCCATAGTTAAAAATGGTTTGAAGCAACTATAATGATGGTACCAGAGCCATCCAGGCTTCCAGTGTCAGGGACATAATCACAGTGCCTGAGGCTTCTCTGTCACACTCGTTTGCATCTGCCAGGCTGTCACAAGTCTGTGCTTTCAGAGGGTAATTGCATCAGCAAGTGCATTTCTTACCCTGTGGTGACATTTTTATTTATGTACTTAAAGTGGGTCCTCTTCCACAGTTATACAACACTATAAAGGTGAGGCTCCAGCCATGCTTAAAAGCAGGGCTGTGAAGGACTCTCGTCTAATACATTACACTGCATGGATTATTGCAATACCAGCCATTACCTCTCACTTGTCCCCAGTTTAAAATTTGGAATTATTAAGCATTTTAAGGTCATTTCAGTCTATTTTACCCTAGACTAATCTAGCATAAGTTAGACTTCCATCTTCAGAAATGTGACTATTAAGTTAACTCCGCATCATGAGATTTTCCAGCAACCTCCCCATTTTGCTGAAGTGCAGCTACAAGTTAATCAGTCCTTTGATTAACTCTTCCTTTCAACTCTGTGCCTTTCTTGGGCTTTTAGCACCAAAGCCAAGCAAATCCTGACAGTTGCTTCACAGGCACTAGACAAATGTTTAACATGTTACATGAGAAAAGGTTAAGTACAAACACAGCTAATAATCTGGGCTCTTTGGAAGTAGTGTCATATCTGAATAAATCTGACAGCACCTCATTGTAAAGGGCAAGAATTTATTATTGTCCAGGTTAAACGCTGTGCTCTTATCCTTTTTGCAGCTAGAACGTAAGAAAGGCTCTTTGTGTGCTGAAACAAACATTAAAGTGCCAACATACACAAAATGTATAAGGTGTCTGGGGATTATTCTTCAGCAAATAGTTCAACTTACTTTGGCTTCAGTCTCTCCCCTGTGAAGTGTATACAAATGATGGACAGCACTTTGTGATGATGACCAAGGATGTGTCAGTATTTGAAAAACATGGAAATCATGGCCTAATGTGTCAGTAGTGACCAGCAACATCCCTAGGTAAAATGAAAAAAGAAAAAGAACAGAAARAGAGATTAATTGCTGCAAAAGAAGAGGCTTAAAAACTATCAACAAGGCTAACGTTTTACATTTAGTTTTCTGTAAACAAAAGAAAATAATTTGCAAGACAACTGCTGAACTTCAAGGGAATAATTTCTCAAAAATCTGAGCTTCAACTGAAATCAGGTAATAATATCACAGGTGAAACAGTACAGTACCAAGCTATTAAAATCAATTGAAAAACATGGAAATACTCAACCTGAAGTCGAGAATATGCGTGATCCGTGTGAAACACTGAATGGRTAACATTAGTGAAATCCCCAAAAGTTCTTCATTGTGAACAAAACCATTAAAAAAACAAACCAAAACAAAAAACGTTTCCACCACCATAATTATTTTTGGAAGCAGAAATACCTCCAAAATAATGGATACCCACAACAGTCATGAAGCATCTCTTACAAACATGTGTAAGAGAAACTGCTTGATTTACTGCTAGAAAGGCAGCAAATCAGAGCTGAGAGCTTTCAAGTGAAATATTAAATTAGGTACTAATTTCATTGAAAACAGCTCACTGATGGCTGTACTGAAATGATTAAATTACAAGATTAGTAGAGTCRCAGTAACTTATATACATTGCTTACTTTTTTCTCCTTCTATATGTCAGCCCATGACCCAAGTTATGGTCTTTGAGTTTACACTCAGAAACAAGTATTYGAAATCTATTTGTCCTACTGCTTTAGTGTTTTATAGCTCTCAGGAAGGATGAAGATGTGTTCACCCACGGCAGGGCAAACTGGAGCCTGCCCCTGCTCCAGGCAGAAGGCAGCCGCAGGCCGGGCCCAGGGGCTCCTCCTTCCCTGGGCAGAGGGGCTTCACTTGAGCCCGGCTCATGGACCCGCAGAGCAGCACAACGTTTATGTCCTTAAGGAGAACACGCTGATGCTTCCATTTCTCTGATCACAGCTCCTACAAAGTTAGCATCTTTTGAACGCCATTACTTGAAGAACTATGGGGCACACCAGAGCCAGAGAATTAGAGCCAYGAAACTGCAGATAAATCTAAATTGCAGTTACAAACTTTCCTATGAATTTCCTTTTCAGCTTGACCACTGATGCTGTTAGGGCTTGGAGAAGGAGAGGCCACCCACACTGCACACATCTATTTCCTCAAAATCACCCAAAACGCAGAATCTTATGTCTGACCTCAGCAAGATTCTCTCCAGTAGACATACTCAGACAGACTTTTACTGCACGCGGCCACTACCCTGATTGTGTGCTAGAAATGAAAGGCAGTTTGTTATGGAGCTAAGAAATCCACGAGTGCATTTGGGTATTATGTTTGGGCGGTAAGGCATGTGAGTTGAGGTTGGTCTGGATGTTAATGTTGGCTTAACTGGCAATTTCCTTGATTTGTAGTGACTGCGTTGATAGGAAATACAGCTAAAGTTGCTCAAGCACAAGTCAGCCAAGTCTTTAGTGTGGGATTATGCACACAATTTGCATTAATTCTGTTCTGAAACATCACAAAATACACTTCCCTTTTAGTGAAGTGTGCGGTCCTCAATAGTATATTCCATTTCCAGCACAGAACTGGAAGCAAATAGGGTTTCTGTTCTAGAATTAGGCTGCCACTTTTACTGCAGCAAGGATATTCCAAAAGATTTAATTCAACACAGTATATATTTTCTACATACCTATGTTTCCTTCTCCTTACACATTAGACAGTTTTATATGAAGATGAGCATGCTTTTAGTTCTCCTAACTTAATGCAAATGGAAAGGATCTTTGGAAAGCGAGAAGCTGGATGAGTATGTAAAGCTTCTCTCAACACTAAACAGACAGCCTCTGCAAAAGTCGATTTCTTCCCCTGCAGAAGTGCCAGAAGTCTTTTCTAAATACAAACGTGGAGCTGAGTGACCCGGAGATTAGAGCCCAACATTCCTCACATGCACTCCAGCACCTGGCACAGTGCAATGAAGACCATAAAAAACTCCGCAGGAGCCAACAATCTGTCTGGAAGCTGGAGACAGAGAGCTGCGTCACAGTGACGAGCCAGGGAAAACACGGGAATTACCGCCCTGCACTGTCCATCACCACGTCCATCTCCTGGTCAGCTGCACGGCATCTTGCTCCCAATTCCAGCTAGCAAGGCAGGTGCTGTGGATGGTGCTATAAACCCCACAGGAAGCTGATGTGATAGAATTTTACCTTTCCTCCCCTCACCAAATCCATAATGTCAATCTACCCAGAGTAGGACATTGCTAGGGTGATCACTTTGGCAGCATATATACTAAACTCAGGACAAAAAAAGGAGAAAATTAACATGGTTCCTGTAAATAAAGAAGTGTGTCTCACAGATTCATAAAGCAACCTACATGGGGTTTTACCTGTTCAGGTAAAACCTGATGACACACAGAGTATCTGAACAAATTAAGAAGTGAGAAGTGCTTGCATTCGACAGTTGTGATCATTTCCATATGATTTACATAGTTCTTGGTTCCATATTAATGACCTGTTCTTGCCTTGGGTTTTTTTTTTGTTTGTTTGTTTTGCTTTGGCTAGCTCGAAGGAGTAAAGAGGTGAAAGATAATACAGCATTTGTGGGTGGAAGGGACTTGTTTTAAAAATAGAAAGATGGGCGGTATCTGATTTGGCAATTTTGTGCGTCTAATCTAAAATCCTGCTGTCTGTCACTATTTGGAAAAAAAGCAACTCACTGGATRAAAGCCTAAGGAAAACAGACTCTTCACACATAGTAGCAACTATTTTTCAACAAATTATAAGGCGTTTTTGTTACACTCACATTTGCATTTGAAATATAAAATATATCCTTGCTTAAACTGCATCAACACAGAGGTCCCAAGCACAAAACCAAACATGTGAAAAAGCATGTATTTATAAGACAGTATTTTAAAATATTTTTCCTACTGTTATTGAAACTATAAATCACTCATTTTAGAGCATTTCTCTTTTTCTGATGTGGTATTTGCCATMTGTCTCGACTTCACACTGAGAAATCCCCATTTTCAACTATTACAGTTGGACTCGTTATTTCTCACCGCATCTCCCCGCAGCGGCAGAACGGGCCCAGCTCGGAGCGCGGCACAGAAACACCTAATCCCAGCAGAGAGACCGAACCTTGAACCTGGGTGCCTGCCTCACTTGCACTTGCCAGGCCAGGAAACACTCAGCTTTCTAACGGACCTCGTGACAGTTTTCCCAATAAGTTGTTTAGATGGGAAATATGGGCTAAAGCTGCCATAAATTCATTCAATATGTTTTTTCTTATGATACTATATGTGTGTGTACATGCACATCCATCTACCTTAGAATACTATTGTAGGAATAAGCATAGACGAACATGGAATAGTTTTCAAAGGTTTCTTGCTTATTTTTCAAAGTGGCACTAACCCCTATTTAGCAGGTAACATCTGAAATCAATTGAAATCTTGCATATACAGCAGCCAGTGAAAACTTAYGAATAAAGGAGATATTGCTTAGTGCATGTCCTGCTGCAAACTCTGCGTTTTCTTATCCCTCATGTGAAGAGTGCAGCTACGTTAAATTAGTGACTTTTTTACTGTGTGGTTTTTCAAATCCACAGAGATTTTTAAAATTTGGTTTAAAAGGAACTGATACCATAAGGCAACAAAAATTAAAAAAAGGCAAAAACAAAAAACCACTCTAGTTTTGTTTTAACTGACATATATTTGCCTTAATTTAAAGCTTCCTACTTTTCATGTATGCCGCTTGGGAAACAATAAGCTTCTTTGAGAAGAGGAATGTTAAAAAAGTACAGAGAATACACGCATAAAGGGAAAAACTAGTACAGATGTAGACTGCGGGTTAAGAGCTATTTCTGCAGTATCAGAAGACTAAACCAGACTCTGGCCTGGCCATAAACTAAGCCCACGCCCTAAACGAGGTGCCAAGCCACAAAAAGCATTTGCGTCAACTGGGAATACAAGGAAAAGAAGGACTTCTAATTATAGGGCCTGGAAGCGGAAGCCCAGAGTGATTAGGAGTTTAGGCGCTGCTGTATGTTTATCTGGGAGCTTCCTCTCCCGCTCAGGCCGGGTTTGATAGATGAGGGTTGGCCTAAAGGGTGGGATTGAAGTTGCTGATGGTACACGGCGTTCTCCGCGAGCCGGCGGYGACGCCGACTCAAACCGAGGGCTTCTGTGGCCTTGTACGAACATAACTCTTCTCAACCAGGCGGCAGCTGGTTAGCCCAAAAGGCAAAATTAGAGAGTAGCGAATCTCAGTTGGGTACTTGCTGTAAAGTCTCGGAAACCTGAGCAGCTTAAACATCTCCACCACATCCTATTTATAACACCTAGCTAATTGCATAGTTGTTTATTACGTGCATAGAAATGAGATGCACACAATTTCACCTTGGGTTTCGGTTTCACGTGTAAATTCGCTTTAAACAAAGCCATCTTTCATAAAACSGAAGGGTTTTCTCTCCTTCTAAAACAATGCCATTTTGTAATTATATATGAAAGAACTTAACACATTCAAGCTGTGTTGAATTTGGCCTTAAAAAACACCAAAAGTACCATTTTTAAGAACACAGGCATACAACTCCATAAGGAAAACATATAGTTGTGGATATACTTAATTTAAGAACATAGTTCTTATATTTGCACACACATATAGCCAGAGACCCAAGTAGCTATTTGCCCAAATATGCCGTTTACACAAAGAATGATACTAAAAAAAGTGAACAATGCCTTAAACAYGAGTGCAGATACCATGAAATGTTGATATTCCGCTTTATGAAACATATGGCCTGACCTATGCGTAGCACCTTTATTTATATTCATTTAACTCCTCTCTGAGGCAGACACTAGTCAAAATAGAGCCAAACATTAGTGCTGCTACGCCCACAGTTTGTATATATGTATCACCAAGTGTGACACAGTTTAAAAAAAAGTCACTAAAATCCGACTTAAATAAGGAAATTGATTTATAATTTTAACATGCACTAAAATTAA